TAAATTACCGACCTGGAGACATCCCCATGATGTCTGTTTTGGCCAAATCGAGCAAATTCCTGTTTTCCACGGTGAACTACACCTTAATTAACGCAAATGAGAAAAAATCGAAGACTTTTTGCGAAAGCGCTTTGGAATATATACCAGAAAGTAGGCTCGTAGCAAATCGCCATACCCCACATCATATTAGTTTCTGATGGATATTTAATGTACACTTCAGGATACGTTTATCTTCAAAAGTTATTCTACTTGTGCTCTCATGTTTGCTCAGTTTTTTGCCTTGACAGACACGTTGTACGTCCAAAGCTGAAGCCTACGCGATTACAATCATATCTGACGTTTTTGTGATATCCCTCCTTTCTGAAAAAATCAATATTTCTAAACAACGTAGCACTAGTTTCAACATTTATGTTTTCGATTCCCTTAAAGTTGGTATTTATCAATGCAGATATCAGATCCATGTATTGTTTTCAGTTTGGGAGTGATAAGTAATCATCCGTAAATTTCAGAGCCTTTCATCAGATAGGTCGCCCACTTTATTTTCCATGATAAAAAGTATACAGGGTACTTGGAAAACATCGTCTGGGGTTCAGTAAATTTTACAGGGGATCTTAACCGTATTGGGTACTTTACGATCGACATTAATAAGTGCAAATACATACAATTTTATGATTGTCTATTTTACGGGCATAAAAATCACATAATTAGAAACTTTCCGAGACCTTGGCGATGCTCCTCCTTGGAATACAGAGAAGAAGTTGTCTGCTAGCAACAAATACAAGATCAAATATTGTTATGCATATTTTCTCCAAAAAATGTTTGAATTTTAAGGGCATCAAAAATCAGTGGAAGAAATACATATTGCTTAAGTAGACCCATTTTTACAGAGTGTATTTTATGCCGGCAGCCGGGAAGATTATTTTAAAGGTGGCATCCAGCTGTAATTGAAGAAATATTGGGATAATGCTGCGCGATAATTACTGCCGATACAAGCGAAGATGCGAGTTCGGGGAACTAGTTGATAAGAAGAAGAAGCGATCGTCGGATCAAGAGCTCTGTTCGCCCGACGTTTTGGGATCTACGCTCGGGCCCATCGGCACTGACGGCGACAGATACGAAAAAATCGTGCACAGGATGCAGTCGCTATGCTGCTGAATACCTGTTATAATAAACCGTCAGCCTTTGCACTAATTACTTGGTGGCTGGCATGCAAGTTGCTAATTTCTGAGATTTCATCACCCTTGTCGGATTTGGGCATGATGATGGCTCGACCATCTGGCTCAACGGCCCGCGCGCTTCCTGAGTGGTTAATTACTTTGGCCCGACTACTTCTCAACACCGAACATGGGATGGAGGTGTTATGCGCTTGTTGATAAAGCGAGGTCTCGTGAACCAAACTCAAGCAACTCGCGGCTCACGTGATTATCACCTCTCGCGTGAATTTAGGCTTCATTTAACTTGAATGTGCGATCTTGTCTTGTTGGCACGCCGACAGAGAGTCGTTGCACAGCTGCGTTTGTGGCTAGTTGGGTGGGCACTATTGAATTTCAGTACTTGTGCCGTATTTGTCGCTTTCCTGAACACTTTGCTGTTTAGGTCAGACGTAACTAACTTATTGACCCAGACGAAATTGGACGAGGAAATATTAATCTCGTTTGCTCCTTCGTTTCCAACACCACAGCAAATCTGTGCGGCTGCAGACATGCTGCAGAGAGACACTGCAGTTATCCTGTTCGCTTCTTCTTCTTCTTCTTTCTCAACACTGTTAAGTAAAGAGCAAAACCCAAACGAGCCTCCGGCTTTCCCGGTCACGACAGCTAAGTGGCGTGCTCACTCACATTAACTGTGGTCGAGGCGACGCTGACATAGGACCGCAAGGGGAACTACCATGACAGCCAACTGTACACTTTCTACATTCCGTCTGTTACCAGGACTCGGAGTGGCTGTGGCCGCCACGGTGAGGAGGGGGACGATGATCTGTTGGGTCGTATTTACCCGAGCAGTCGGATCAGATGCAGGAGTAGAGGCCTTATAGTTCTAGCCCGTACCTGTCTGCAGTAAACCTCCAAGTGCAGTCAGCGGCTGACTTCACTGGACGCTTGCAAAATTGTGGAATGCGCTTTCGACAAGATAGGAATACTTAAGAGGGGTTGTAATAGTGATTATTTGGTGGCATAATCCCATGATATTTCAGATACGTCAAGATGATGGCTTTTGAATGCACTTCTTCTCGGTCGTATACAAAAACCGCGCTCGTTGACAGTGGTCATTTAAGATGCTGTTGTAAATTAAAAAATATTTTTCAGAAAACATGCATAAAAATATTATTCCTTGTTTTCATCTGGCAGCATACTTTTTGTACAGGAGGAGTCTCCGGTAAATCTAATTTCCTTGCTGTTATGAGCGTATACGCAGTTCAGTGGTTCATATATTCGATCTAACCACTTTGCTCACAAGACTCAGACCTCATGATAAATGAAATTTAAAATTCTGAAGTAAGCGAGTGTTACAAATACCAAATTGAAAGGATATCATGTCAGTCTGACTTCCATTCCGTCAGCGAATAGCATCTCGAGTTGTGAGGGTTGGAATTTTGATTATAAGTTAGTGTAAACCCAAGATATTTCCCTCGCGACAAAAAACCGACTTTCAAATGACCGTCAACGGTAGGGTTTAGAACCCACAATTAAGTTGAGCCAGCCTGTGGAAGTGTCATACGTTGAATGGTGGTAGAGGGGGTCTTACAGGTGGAGCAACACAAAGGACGGAGAGGAAAAGACACGGAAAGCAGATAAATTTATGTCGAAAGATTTATTGTACTCTGTCTAAGAAAGTGAGCGCAATAATTAAAAAAAGTAAACAAAAGAAATTCTCAAAAAATAGCAGACTCTGAAAAAAACGCCGCTGGTAAGTTTGCATCTAGTTAAGAAGGGAACAGATGTTCAAATAATGGGAACGGTAAATAATAAGTGACGTTTACAGTCACGTTGAACTTTACGGTTGTGTTTTCGTAGTTGCAATCTATTTGTGGGTCCTACACCCTACCCTTGCCGAATGATCTTCTTTCGGATCGCCTTCAAGAGTTATAATCGGCAAAAATGGTTGTTTAAGTAGCATGTATCTCTCCCTTTGCTTTCGACCACCCTCATAAATTGAAATATTTTTTACGGAAAACATGCAAGAAATATTCTTTGTTGCTCTTAACTGGCACAAGTTTTGTCTTATTCGAATTTTTGCATGGAAGAGATGTCTCTAATTATATGTTTTTTTTAAACCGACAAACGTCCACTTGTGTATACAACCTGATGCGTGTCCATCGTACAGTGTTATGAGTCCCATGTGGTGTCCTCCTAATGATGTGTGTTACTTACGTGAAAAGTATACAGCATGAAGTTCTGACACCTTGAGCCTGAACCCAACCGCGGGCTGGGTTAAAATTTGTTCAAAAAATGTAAAATTTTGATGTAAAAAAGACGTCACCCTTTAAGTGAAAAATCTCAAAATGTGATTTGCTACTGAATGTGCAAAAATATTTTTATGCATACTTTCCATAAGATACATTCGGACTGATAAGGTTACCGAAGACTAGTGAGAAAAAAGGATGTTCCGTGAGCAATAACTTCTTTGTAATTGAGGATTTGCAAACGGGCAGATATAATGAGCTCATGTGAAGTCCGGCATCTTAGTTTCATTGAAATATCTTGGGGTTAGCCTGCATGACAATTAATATTACAACCCAATAAAGCAATCCTTTCTAATCGGAAACACAGTTTGGAATTAAGGTCAATAAGCCATGTGATTGGTCATTTACTGTGCGTACGACTGGCCCTTGATGTGCATTAGCAGGCAAACGAATTTACCGATGCACCGTTTGAGTGTATAGAGAGTGGGTTGGCGTCAGGTGGGCTTCTATAGGCTGTACAACTAGCCTAGCGGCTACATCGGGCTGTCACATGGGCTAAAAAGATTGTCCTGGAAGGCATTGTGGACTTACAGTTCCTTGAGCAGAAATCGCAAAGCATCGGTCATCGGGTATCGGTATAATTGGCAAATAGATAGGTTCCCTTTGTTGCGTGGCTTAGACATGTAGACCGAAGGGCATGCAATCGGTTGAGGAAATTGATGTCTCCCTTGCAGCATCAAACATTGAGTTCACTTTTAGCTGACATTTAAAATGAATTGACCCCAGGCGATAATTTCCTCGACGCTATTTATCATACACCGAATTGGGAAAAATTTGTACTTTTGGATAATTTCCAATTTCGAAGCCTTTGGCTGCTAATCGCTGGGCATAAAAATGCCCAGAGAAGCTTATAGAAGGTGTAGGAGCTTCGAGATCTGTGCAACAAATGTCGTCATGTTCTTAAACGTGTCCATATTTAAACTTGCACGATGTTCCTGTTCACAAGGTAAATGAAAGATGAACCACTGGGAGGACATTTTTTCATCGAAAATCTTAATAAACAACAAAAAACAGACTCGTGGTTCAAGTACGAATAATAGGCATTTCAATTCTGCGACCTTTAGAACGAACCGAATTCGAATGAACGCCAATCAGTCAGCCGAATGGGTCTGTGGAGTTTCCTACATCACTGCTAAATGCTGGACCTTGGCTAGAGAGTTTTCGGTGGCACACAGTCACCTAATGGGGAAGATGCTAACTCGATTATACAACTTGCACTCAAATAGTATTCTTTCTTGCAGGGATTTATGACATTTCAGGCGAATTTTATATTTTACCCTTTTATCCTTCCCGTCTCTCTGTCACAAAATATGCAAGTGCAAAGACTTGGTATTTGGAAAAATATAGAAAAAATAGATAGGTCAGGAGTAAGGTGGATGTGTCCAGAGATGACCAGGGTAGCAGACCTGTGGTGCAACTCTGTCGTCAACTTCGAGGTCACTGGATGAAAAATCTTCAGGTTCAAATGAATGCACATGTATGAGATCGGTGCACAAAATGGACTCGTGCACCGCGCGCACCGCTTCCCTCCACCTACTTAGAGCTCTTCACCTCCAAGACTAAAGTTGATTGAGCCCGAGGGTTTCTTCACTCCAGGATAGTCCCTCTTTGGCAGGGCAACACTCTCACTGGCCCCGTCAGATTCATTTTCATAAGTTACGCTATCTCGGTGGCGCGAGTCTTCCTCAGCAATTTCACTGAGTACCGTCTCCCTCGACTTGCTCAACTCCTCCCGTGTGGGAATTCGTTGGTTGGCCATAGTGTTGAGCCTAGTTTCCTCGTCAATAGACCTCAGAGTGCTTCGCCGGCGTTGTTTCATTACACGCGACTTCGCATTCATGACGTCCAGGAAGGTGTCTTTGAAGTCCTCCATTTCCTTGCCCTCGTTGATCAGACTTGTTCGTCGGCGCCAGTGTGGATCGAACAAACTTCCCTCCTCTCCTCCTGCCTGTTCACCAAAGTGCACCGACTTTCGGTGTATCGACTTGCGGCGATAATGTCCAACTTCTTCTTCTTTTTCTTTATGCTCTTGTTCTTCCAGTTCTCTAGATGGCAGTGAGATAGCGCTGGTCGAATGTCTCACAAAGAACTCCTCTAAGTTCGGATCTGAGGTTGCAGCCACAATGGACGGCAGTTGGAGCATGCACTCGGTCGATGACATGTGTTGGCGAACCAACGACTCTGGGAGAGAACGTAGATGACTGGAGGACTGATCTGGACGAATAGTTGCAAAGTGCAGCTTCAGGGCAATCTTTTCGTAGGTTTTGATGATCTTTTGATCATGGGTCTCGGGCTCGCGTTGCAGCCACCGACGGATATACTTGTCGTCCAGACGAGTGAAGAAGGCACGTGTCTGATTGCGGCCAGTTGAACCCGCGATACACTCAACACCGGCCAGGGTGTGATCCAATATGGTGTTGTTCATGTCCGACCAGAGACTCAGGCTCTTTTCGCCAGCGAGTTTGACATTGAACAGTCGAACCAGGGGTTTCATGGTCAGACCCATTAAACCCACCGTCACCAAGATGATGAAGAGCGTGGCTGTGATGATGATTTTGCGCACTTTTTCCCCGTCACCGCCCAGTTGATTGTAGTCCACAAGAATGGCTAGTGAAAAGGCTACCGCTCCACGCAGGCCACCGTAGATCAGGATAGCCTGTTCCCTCATACTGATCTTCATGCCGTTGATGTGAGTTTTATTGATGAAAAGACTCAGCAACAGCACCACGACAGTTCGAGCAAGTAGACATATCACCAGAGCCCACAGACAGAAGCCCGTGTTCCAGAGGATCTCCGAGGAGAATAGCTGGACGCCGATGAGGAAGAAGATAATGCCCTCACTGACCTCCGAAATCTGCTTAATTATCTGACGAGTGGTGTTCAGGGCAGTGGATTTTAAGTTGTGGAAGGCGTAGTTGGCCTGAACCAGGCCGCATCCAATCATCGAAATGATTCCAGACCAGCCCAGACAGTCCCCCATGATATAGGAGAAGTAGGCCATAGTGATTATGAAGATGGAAGAGAAGTGAGACTCCCAGCGAGTTAGGAAGCTACTAACGACGCCAAAAACAACACCGACCAGAAGACCACCTAAACTGATGGTGAAAAAGGACGCGAAGCCGAGACCGACGTCGGCGGGCGAGACGGTGGTCACTTTGACAAACTCACTCATGATGTCATAGAGCACAACAGTGACGGCATCGTTGAGGAGGGATTCACCAAAGACCATGTAGTACAAACCCGGCTCTACACCAATGTCCTGAAAGATGGCAAGCACGGCAACCGGATCAACGGCGACGATCAGTGAGGCAAACAAAAAGAAGGAATTCAGACTGATGCTTCCCAGACCGCTTCCCATGGCTCCGCCTACATACAGCCCATACATCAGGGGTCCAATGATGAGGAAGTTGAAGACGGTTCCAAGCACAGCATACATAAGAATGCCGCCAAGGTAGTCAAGAAAGGTGCGGTTGTAGAGGCCGAAGGAGGCATCCAAAACGATGGGCGGAAGGAGGAAGTGGAAGAACATGGTGGGAGTCAACTTCCATAGCGTATTTTCGATGTCCACATCGGAGGCGTAGTAGAAGATGACGCCGAAAATGACACCGATGCAAATCAGCAGCAGTGATTGAGGAACGTATTCGGGAACATAGGGTATCTTTGGGTAGAACGTCTTGAAGAGACACATCAAAACTATGATGGCGAAGGCTCCGAAGAATAATTCGAATTCGTGAAAGTCCCAAGTGGCGAGCTTAATGCCGCCTGATTCGCTACTGCCGTTTCCGCCTCCGGAGTTTGCGCCGACGCATCCCACAAAAAGCAGGAATATGCAGACGACTGGAATAACTGTGAAACTCCTATTCAACATCGTTGCCACATTAATGAACCAGTCTTCTCCACCTTGCCGTCTTTTATGCAGTTGTTGACGAAAAGATCAATTTGTCTGTCATTAAGTTCAGACTAGAAGGGAGTGCTTACATTGGTTGGCCCATGAGGCTGCATGATTTGCTAACCAATTAGGCATCACATCAGACCTGAGCTTTCTCCTGGATGGTCAACAGAAGTCATCAGTTGAGATCAAACCAGGGTAACGACAGACTCATTAATAACGGCAGACCAGGGCCGCTGACGGTGTTTTAACTGACCCAACTGTGAAAAATTAAGTGACCTTGGCGGCATTTAAACCCGCAGTAGCTGGAGTTCAGCTAGTGCTCTAGCCACCTGAGTCTCGAGGCCGCAGTCCAGCCAAATCTAGCGCTTTGTCTGGAATCCGTCAATCATAAAACGGAATATTTCCTGTAGAGGCTGGTTATTCTAAGCAGTTAGTTTATAACCCTCCAAAAAAACATTCGGGTTCACAGTCTGTGGATTTTACTGACCCAAATAAACTTATTACGAGGAATTCTAAGACTTCGATGGCACTCGTATCAGACACAATTAACAAATATAAAATGAACTGGTTAACAATCTTGGGGGAGTTATATTGATTGCAAGCGGTCTGGCCTGGTATGTTTGTACCAAAATGTTCCCCCAGGTTTATCGCAATTTTATAGTCTTTTTTAACTTCATGCTCATAAACGACAAAAATCGCAGCACTCTGTTTGATAGCTCCGCCAATACCATGAAAGCCGAGGTTGCTTACATGTTCTTATAGCTTCCAAGCTGTGCACGTTAACTATTTTTGGATCAGATGTAGTTATTTAGCCGCACCGGAAGTAAACAAAAGCCAGCCACCTGTAATACGAGATCGGTGGTAATAAGGGGTTTTTACAGGCGGGGCCGGAGAGCGCACAGGCGACGAGACCAAGTAATTGTATGCAAAACAAAAGCTATTGGGAGTGAGCGGTTGTACTTGGAGTGGTTGAGAAATAGTTGCCTTGATCCCTAAATCTATCCCACACCTCTAACCCTAACCCTAATTCCAACAGTATTGTGTCCGTACGTTATTACCACCAACGACAAGGGAGACTGGATTGGCCATTTCTAGCTTATTAGCCGTCTGCAGCCAGTCATACCCCAAAGCGTGGAACACCCGAGGCTCGAACTCGCGACCTGTTAGCTAGAAGTCCACGCCTCTAACCACTGGGCCACGAGCCCGTTGCCCTGTCGGTATCGATCGAGAATTTACAATGGTAGGGGGCGCTCAACGATCGCTCTTACGGAAGATACTGGTGGTGTTGAGTATTACGGGATCTCTCTCGATCGCCACCAGCAGCCGCACAGCGGCTCATGATATAGGCCGTATGTTGTTACTGATAAAGACAAGGGAGACTGGAATGGCCATTTCTGGATTATGAGCCGTCGTCAGTCAGTCATACCCAACCCCGAAGTGTGGAACACCCGAGGCTCCAACTCGCGACCTGTTAGAATTCCACGCCTCTAACCACATGTGGGGCTATATAAACACGTCTCACCGATTTCTGTTTTCCGTTAAACTGGTCCCACTGGCCGGTTCTAATCATTCGTCTTGAAATAATGTCGACCTGTGCTGTGATGTCAAAAGTACACTTATATGTCTCTCTAAAACTGTATATGCAGGTTACAAAGCTTCAGTCGAAACTGTTCGTCAAGCGCTGTAGAAAGTGCCTACATGAACCGTAGCAATCCGTAAAGATCAAAATATTGAAAAATCTGTGAAATTTGAAGCGGTTAATAAGATGACATTTGTAGAACACACGTGCGCTCTCCCTGCGCTTTATTCACACAGGACAATCGGGAGTGTTAAAATGCCGACATGTTTAGCATACATGTTGACGAAAAGGAAATACCATCAGGGCAGTATGGTCTGATGAGTTTCTTTCTTAGAGCTCTTCACGAAATCTGAAAATATCCGTTTTCAGCGTCTAAAGTTACGCCGTCTCGGAGAAAACCGGTTATTTTGCGGACTATTTTACGTTAACCTTAGTTCCGGTTCCTTCTTCAACGTGCACAGATTGTACAAAGCCTCTCAGATTTTATATTTTTTCGTAACAAACCCTTATCACGGGGACTACAGTTCTTGCCTCATGTTGTGTGGGACTTCTCGCCAATCAAGTTCCAACCGCAAAACGCGCCATGGCATGCAGCAAAGAAAACAGTTTCACGACGACAGTTCAACCGTCGTTGCCGACGGTGGCCGCCGTGTGTTCTACCGCAAGATGAGAGGAGGTACGGTGACTTGAGCGTGAACTAGTTTAGAGTGGTAGTAGACTTGCGCTGCAACCACCGCACTCTCTCCTTCTCCCCCACCTGAACCCGGTGTCAAGACATAGTCAAGAAAACAGGAAGCGGGAAGGGACAAAGGTGGCTGGCACGCCGTAAACCTGCACCTAGGCGTACCACCACACCCCCCCCCCCTTTAATAACGAACACTTGACCGAGATTTTATCCTTCAGCAAAAGCAGTCAGACGGAGGAGGAGGAGAGGATGATGCCAGTCACTGGGCAATCATGCACACAGCCTGCACACACTAGAACAGCGCAAACACATATACCAGCAGAGAACCCGGTGCCAGAGAACTGCCACCGCACGCCAGGCTGCTAGGGTCATGGTTGCTGAAGCGTGGCATAGCATACGCACCAAGTCCTCGACAGATGTACGATATGTGACAGTACCCTTGCTAGCTATGCGCCCAGACAAGCCTATTTCGCCGACAATCTGCCACAGCAATTCACAGATGCGAGGAATTCGACTAATCCGTGGGCCCTGTACTGTCGGTAAGATAGATCACGCAACATGCATATGCTACTGGCTGTGTGTGTGCTGTTTAACTAGTATGACGCTGTTATTACATTGAGGCTGAGGGATTTCGGGTGAAATATTCATATCCACTTTCGGAAGATACCTATAAATATTTCTTTCCGGACGATTTTTCTCCAGGTTTGCGCATTAATTTCTGAAGAGATTAGAGAGGTGAATGTGCACGCTTA